AACTGAAAATAATAAAGACAGTGGTCCAATATACACCATTGTTGTATCACTTATCTAAAATAATAAAATTATTATTTGAATACCAAACAAAAAAACAAAGATACTTTCCGTTTGCAAAGATAAGGATCATGATTCATGTAGAGAAAAAGAATTATATATAACTCATAATTTTCAAGTGGATAGAAAGGTGAAAGAATACTGATAAAATACATTGAAACAATATTAATTATGATTTTACTTTTGACTTTATTTCTTAACTGTTCAATATTATAAAATAAAATTCTATTAAAACATATTAAAAAAAAGAAAATGGTGTATGTATTATTTCATTGGTGAAGCTGTTTGATTATATCATTGAATATATTCGAATTATTGTCAGTCTGTTCAATTGTTTTTTGCAATAGAATGTGAAGATTATTCAGAAGTATATTATTTGAAATACAGGTACGATTAGAATCATTTACACTTTCACCCATTTGCACAGTTGTTAATTGCTGAATGTTAGAGTTGTATTTTGAGTCAACGTCAGATAAATGAGTGTGATTATGACTTAATTTTTGAAGTTCATCATTAATTATTTGACGAAAATTCTCAGTCGAAATACTTATACTACATTCATATTCATATACAAATTGAATTTGTTGAATATGAAAATAAATATCTGCTTGTTGTTTAATCCATTTTTTAAATTCATTATAAAATTCAAGTATTAATGGATAGCATCCTTCATTAACAAAATGAATATATTGATCATAAAGTTTTTTAAGATTTTTTTGTCGTATTATATTCGACACCATTTGAAGTTGACTAGGTCTAGTAATCGTTGTATCCTAATCGATAACAAAAAAAATCAATGATAAATTTTAATAAGAAAAAAAAAAATAAGACAAACATGTCGAAATCTTTCACAGAGATCAGTTGCATCTTGAACATGTTTATTAATTTGTTGAATATACATTGAATAATTTTTCATTTGTGTTGAAAGATTACTTAATTGAAACATTCGTTCATTATCATTAAAATTTGTATCAAGAATTGTGGATAAATCTTTATCATATTCGATTGATTTATGATAAAAATTCAATGATAAATCTAACATAGGTCTTATTTTTGAAAAATTTTGTTCTTCAGATGTTTCATTAGTATCGGAAGATTTAATTATTGATTTATGACATGAACGAATAGGTTTTGGTGATGATTGTGGTTTAATTAAATCAAATATCTTTTCAAGTTCATGAGTAATTTGATGATTAAGAAGATTTTTACGAATTAAATAAAGAAGTTCAAGTAATTTCGATTTAAGAAGACGATGTATAGTCATAATTGTCGATTGAATTATTTGCATAATAGATTCATATTGAATTACGCCCGTTTGTAAATAGAAAAAAAGTCCAACTATTTTCTGACTCCAATCATATACAGAAGCAAAAATATCTTGAATATTTTCCATTAATTGTATCTTAGGTATATGGATCTCTGATATACATTTATAATCGAATTTTGATATTGAAAATGTATAAATAATTAGAGGTTTTTCATATGATAATGACATAGGTAATTGTTCACAAAATGTTTTCACAGTCGTTTCTTCTGTTCTTAATACAGGATAATATACACTAAAAATAACAGACCGATATCCCGATGATTCTAGTTTCGCACATCTTTATAGTTAAAACTTACTTTTGAAAAAGACAAAAATATTCAACGTTCATTTCATCGTCATTTTCTTGTCGAATATAATCGAAAAATTTATGAATTGAATCATCAGCTTGAAAATAAGCACATGTTAATGTAAATTTTTTTAAATTAATATAATAAATAGGAATTAAATCAATTATTTTGTTAACTTCATTAAAAAATTCTTCATGTTTCATTAATCGTGCTTGATTTGTTTCAAATAAACATGAGAATAATTTTTCTAACATTTTCTTAAGATTTGATGATAAACGACACCATTCTGGTAAGACTTTTGACCAACGAATATCACCATTATACGTATCTTGTATACCTGAAATACATCCCATTGGTATTGATGTTAAGATTTGTTTCATTAGATTTCGGTCATTATTTGTATTATTATATGGTTGAAATGGCAATTGACCTATAAAAATAAATAATTCAGATATAGATGAAATGATGTATTTTCAAACCTGTAGAACATTGATAGAGTGTTACACCGAATGACCATATTTCAATTTCAAATGGAATTGAAACATGTGTTCCAATAATATTCCCATCACTATTTACTTTTCTATCAGGAGGATTATTACTAAAAATTAAAAGAGAAAATTAGTAAATAAAAATTAGTAAAATGTAAATTATTAACTGATATACAATTGGATGAACATATTTTGCTGTATCATGACTAGAATTCGATGTTACTTCGTCTTGTTTAATTTCTCGATTCACAACTAAATCAGTTAATTTATATATTACTTTATTATTAATATCAATCGTTCGCATAATGTTGCTTGGCTTTATATTACAATGAATCTATTAGATAATATATTTTTTAACTTTCAATATATATGTATATATAATTTCTCATTACTTTTTTATTATGTAAATATTTAAGTGCATTAATGATATCCTTCATGATTTGTATTATGATATCTTCAGGTAAACCATATACATTAGCTGGTAATTGAAGCATATCATGAACACTACCTCCATTACAATATTCAAAAAATAATATTTCTTGATTCGGAAATCCATTTAAATTATCTGATGAAGTGATTATTTCTGTACCAATAAAACGAGCAATATTATCGTGATTAATATTCTTAAGAAAATCAACATTTTCAACAAATATCGAATGTGAATAGTTTTTATCTTCGTTATCAGTTCTATGACTAAATTCAATATTGAATAATAATGATGTAAGTTTCGGAACTTTAGCTATCACTTGTTCTCGTGTTGTTATATTACATGCTTTGTAAACATCTGATGTTGTACTACTACCAACTTTATCTCCAACATCCCATAAATAATTTTTAGTTGTTTTAAACACTAAAATATTACATGTATAATAGATATTTAATGAAAACAGTAATATTAAATGTATTTACTTCTCTGAATATACTTATAAGAAAGAATAAAGCACTTGTTTTTTTTATTACACGTTAGTGAAGTAAAATGACAAAAACAACGATAGAAATGTGTTTTTTTTCTCGAACGTGCATGTTATTATTTATGTAGAATTGAAGAAAACTAAAAAAAGGTAAACAATAATAAACAACGAAACGTGCTTTTAACCAAATAATTATGACACACTTTTTTCCATTCTGCTCGGAAATAAATGTAAAACACAACGATAAAAGTAAAAAACAATTTTCTTCCCCCGAATGGTAAATAAGAATTGCTTTTAAGGAAATAACTCTACGCATTGTAAAGTGTGTAATTTCGATTGTCATATATTTCAACAAAAAATCGTATATCTTCAAAAGTCAACAATAAAGTTATTGTAACAAGTAGCGTTCACTATATGTTCACATGAGTCATATCAGTACGTTTACAGACGAATAGAAAAGTTAAATACTAATTTAATTTGTTTGCCTCTTTTGATTGATCTGATATCATTCATGTTTTAGTTTTTATAATTGTCCTTTTTCGATGTACTCAAAACTATTCTAAACTAGTTTTAAAATACTTGAATATATCCAATGGTTGTCTCTCTATTTTTTATGCATACTGTTATATGATATAAAAAGAATTTTAGACGAAAAAAGATAACAATGTGCAAATGCTAAATAAATATAATAAATGATAAGAAAAATAACGTAGAATCATGTTTCTACATGAATATAAGAAAATCAACAAATAGATCTTGTTATCTGAATAATATCTATACTCAAATAAACTATGACTAATCTGTCTTACAATCATTGCATAATAAGTAGATATTTTCTACATACAATAGATAATTCTTTTTTTTTATCGAATGCAATACTGACGCATTATATATATATATACAAAAATAGATTAAAGTATACACAGATATGTTCTCTAATATTTATATTTTACAAATAAAATAATTTCTTCTTTTTTTATCATTCTTAACCAGTTCACCTGTATATAAACTATAGTTATCATTTACCTTGGTTAAATTATTTGTTGAAGATGCGTCTTGTGGTGTTTTTACTTTTCATAGTTGGTTGTTGGTGTGATATAAAAGTATTAGTAGATCAAAATGGAGGATATAATATAACTATTAATAATCAAGTATGGTTACGTTCTTCTCGTACAGCTATATATGTTGATGATCGATGGTATTCAACAGAGAATCAATCTCTTCCCTTAGTTAGTGTATCGACTGATCAAGGTACTGATCCAAATTTAGGTAGTTGGAATGAAACAAAATTAACATATAATCTTGTTCGTAATCAAACATCTACTTCAATTATTGCTCATATACGTCAATGGAATATTGTTTCAGCATTTACTTTTCATTTGGAAACAGGTGATAAAACTTTAACAAATCATGTTGCACTTGATATGGAACAAATTCGAACTGTATTTCCATCATTTAATATTGAAAGTATGGATATGAATGATCAAAGAAGTTTTTTTTCATTTGGAGGTAAGGTTTAATTCATTTTTAATCATATTAAATATTAATTTTCATTTAGGAGCAATGGCAGGTGAAGGAGATAAATCTGCAGGTAATTGGACTTCATCAAGTACAGTTATTAAATCTGGTATGCAGGGTGGACCGGTAGTTCTATTTAATTCAACTCAACGCGGTGAAGGTGATACGTTAGTTATTTCACCATTTTCACATTTTATGGCAACTTCATTATGTCAAAGACATAAAGCATCAGGTGGTGTTTTAGAATATGGTGTCATGGGTTCAATGTCATCAATACCTGCTAATTATATGCATTCATTAATTGTTTTTTATTCACCACGTGGAATTGGAGAAGCAATTCGTGAATATGGTCAAACAATGCAACGAGCATTTAATCGAACAAATGTAAATCGTTTGAATGATCTTACAATAAATTATCTTGGTTATTATACTGATAATGGTGCTTATTATTATTATAATACAGAAAAAGGAATGAATTATGAAGCAACAATGATAAATATTAAACATCAAATTCCACTTCCATTTCATTATATTCAACTTGATTCATGGTGGTATTTCAAAGGTATTGGAAATGGTGTTTCACAATGGACAGCTCGTCCCGATGTATTTCCTGATGGTCTTGTTTCATTACATCGTCGATTAGAAAATATTCCAATAGCAGCACATAATCGATATTGGGCATATGATACTGTTTATAAACAAAAATATGCATTTGCTCTTGATGTTGGCAATGGAAAAGCATTACCAACTGGAAATGATTCATTTTGGTTACATTTATTTGTTGATGCACGTAATTGGGGTCTTGTTCTATATGAACAAGATTGGCTTAATGTTCAAACAATGGAATTTCTTCCAACACGTACTGATATTAATCTTGGTGAACAATGGTTAAAATCAATGGGTGCAGCAGCTGAAACAGTTGAAATGAATATTCAATATTGTATGAGTTTACCTCGTCATATTTTACAAGCTCTTGAAATTCCACGTGTTACACATGCAAGAGTATCCGATGATTATGCTGTTCATTTAAAAGATTCAAAAAAATCTCAATGGAATATTGGAATATCCAGTATGTTTGCTGATGCTATAGGTTTAGCACCATTTAAAGATGTTCTCTGGTCGACATCGGAACAACCTGGTTCTCCTTATACACCATCGGCAATGGAACAACTTCCTGAACGAGAAATTCTTATTGCTACTCTTTCAACAGGACCTGTTGGACCAGGTGATGCAATTAATTATACGAATGTACAACGTATTATGAAATGTTGCAATAAAGATGGTTTAATTTTAAAACCTGATCGACCACTTACTACAATTAATGCATTAGTAGCTGATTGGGCTTTTTATGGTGGTGTTATACAAGGAGAACTTTATTCAACACGAACAACAATGTAAGATATATATGTATTAGTTTTTATTTATTCGTAATTCATTTTTATTTAGAAATGATCGAGAATTTCATATCATTTTTGCATCAGCTATGAAACGAGATTATGTTATATATCCTTCTATGATTGGAGGCGAATCAGGATTAATTTGGTCATATGATAATGCACAAATGGTATCAACTTTTGATGATACTCATCCTCTTGATGTTACAGCTGCTAAATGTGATGATTTAGCAATTTGTCTTTGGTATGTATCACCATCCTGGCAATTTAATGATCCTGTTCGAACAAAATATGCTCTTCTCGGCGAATTAAATAAATGGACAGCTGTTAGTCAACAAAGATTTTCATCGATAACTACAAATACAGAAAAAACTCAAACAACGATTACTGTTCAAGGTGCAATATCTGAAATAGTTTCACTTGTTGTCTTTCATACTACTTTAAAAACTGTTAATGTTAATTGCACAATTACAGCTACAAGCGGTCAAGCAAAACTTATTATTACTCCGACAAATATTGCTTGTTCTTAAGAATTCAACATAAATTAGAACATATAATATTAATCTTTGAAAACAATCTATTTCTTTTTATATGCAAGAAAATATATTGTCGTATTTAACAAAATTTTCTATTTAAATAAATTTATTAGTAAAATATTTTCATTGATTAATACCTATAAAGTTGATTTTAATAATCCAATATACGATTAAACTCTGCAATAGATTTTGAATACAAACTATAACCATAAAATTTCATATTACAAATCTTGAAGGCTGTGTTCTTATTCTAGAATACATATTTTTTCAATATGTGTTTTTACCTTACCACTAAGTGTTATTGCACATATTTTGTTCTCCATAAGAACAAAGTTTCGATAGACACATTTTCTTTTTCCTCAAGTTTATTTTACTTTCAATAAAATACACAGAAAGAAACTATAATTTCTTTTTTATATGTTCGAGGTTTCCGATATATATTTGAAGATTAGGATGTGTGTGGGTGTGGGTCATCGGTGCATGTAATAGCTATACCCACCCCTAATTAGAGGAAAGGATAAAATTTATAGACATAGTAAATCTAGGGATAAAAGAAAAATGAAAGAAAACTTAGCTTCTGACCGACGAGGTCATTCTTTTAAGTTAAGCATGTCGCAGCACATTAGAAGTATATTTGACTTACCAGCATACTATTTTACATTAACAACAAAGCAACTAGAGAAAAAATACAAGAAAAATTGAATGTAATGAAAAACTACGTGAACAATATCCACCATATTATCCCACCAATAACATCAACATCATCCACGTCCATTATTTAACCAACATTAACACCATCAACAATCTTATTGAAA